AATATTTATTGAAAGCAGTGGTTCTGTCTGTTTTATTCACTGCAGTATCCAAGAGCTTAGAGGAGTGCTGGACCATTGCTAAGTGACTATTGAATGAATGAGTCCTAATACTCCTTACCGAGAAAGTGGTAGAACTGACATCACAGCCATAGGTCCATCTTCCAAGTCAGCTGGGGTGCTGCCTGGATTAGTGTTAGGAACTTAAGTCCTCAAGTCTAACTGTCTCTTTGGGTCTCTACTTCTTTTCTATGAAGGGCTCTGTACACAAACATAATAAACCTTTTGTTCCTGTTAATGTCATTTGTCAGTTTAATTTGCTGATCCCTGGTACAGAACATAAGAGGGCAGAGGAAAAGGTTTTCCTCCCCTGCACAGCATCGAGTACATGAACAGCCAACCCAACTTTGTTCTTGTTCTGCCTCAGCAGCAACAGAGACCAGTCCTCTCCCCACCTATGAGAAATACTCGACTAGCACCCCTGCCTCCATCTTCTCTTATAGCCTGTCCCCTGGCTCTCCCTCAGCTCGTGCCCTGTCCCAACTGTGTCCCTCCAGCAGTGAGACCCCAGACCACCTGGGGGGCATGTGACATTCAGGCAGCAAGTGTCCAGGTGGCTGGAACTGGACTCTGCCACACAGCACACACGAGTGATTGTATCCCAGTGCCATCCAGCTACGATGGCCCACACATCCTCTACACAGGTTTCCAAAATGCTGGTGGATCAGGGCCAGGGCTCAGACCCTGAAACCCCACTTTAAGGATTCTAGTGTGGGATGGCTTCATGGAAGGGACCCAATATGGGAGTGTGGTCAGCCCTGGCGTAGGGACACACACCTCTGCTGTTCTTCTCAGAACAAAGGTAGGTCTGCAACCTCCCAAGTGTCCACCCAATTGGGCCTTCTTCACAGCCACCTGGAGTACTGACAAGAATCCGTGCCCTCTAGAATCCTATCCCAGTTGGGCCAGGTCTCAGCGATCCCAAACCAAGAGACTCAGGTGAATCCCAGGATCTCACAGGGATTTCCCCATTTTGCTTTTAAGGGAAAACCACTGAGTTTCAAATGAAAGGAACCAGAACTCACCAACCCAAAATGTGCCCATTTGGCATAAGGATTATTCTCAGTGGAAGGTCACTGAGAACCAGTAGACTCAGGAAATGCTCTAAGAACAGGATGCAAGCTTTCCTTCTGTAGAGGAAATCACATTTATAAAGGAAACACCCATTTGTAAGGACCTCTCCTCCCACACCTGGAAGAGGAGGTCTCTTAACAGCTCTTATCAATGGACAAGGAACCAACTTGAAATCAAGCATCACAAATCCTCTAAATACCCTTGTTCACCGTGCTTTCCTGACCACATTCCCATAACTTAATCTCCCTAAACCCCTTTTGTTTGTCCAGCCATGATGGTATTTAAGTCCCCAATTCTCATTGCCTCCTTGAGTAACATTTCTTTATAAAGAGCACATAACATCATTCGATTCTTTTTTTCTATTGTTAGCCTGTCTTCTCAGTTTAACTTCTGGGTTCCAGGCACTGAACCTTGAAGGGGAGAGGGTGCTGGAGCTGGCTGTCATCCGTTATGAAATCCATGTCGGAATCTTCAGGAATAGTGTGAACAGGCCATTAAACCCAGCTAACATTAACTTACAATTGAATAAACTATAATGAGAATAAAGGCAGCAAATTCTCAAAACTCAGCAGGATTACTGTAGGCCTCACTGGTTATTGCACTGCATTTACTATCCCCTCCCACCCACAGTGTGTGTAGTAGAAATGCTTTCTGGGGTTCTTCTGACTCCATGTTCAGGAACATCATGTTGGAAACATCTACACCACAAACAGCAAATGCCACAAGCCAGCCTTGATTGATCATTTTGTTGATGCTGTAGACTTAGAAAGTGATGGGGAAAGTATGACTTGGGCAGGTGAGATGCACAAGTGTGTATCTGCAGTGCTGCACTGTAAAGACGGAGAGAAGACTTCCACATCCGAAACCCAGGACGTCATTCAGCAGAGGCTGCTGACGTCACCCAGGAAGAAGTGATGTTTTGCTCACGTCGGTTTCATAGTCTTACTCCCTAATTACAAGAAAATACCAAGCAACATTTGTCATGTCAGAACTGCTCTCCTTTATCGACTAGGGGACTACAGGTGCCTGGGGAACAGGAGCCAGGCAACATCCACAAAAGCATCCCGTGAGGCCTCGGGCTCTTAGAATTTATACCAGAGTCCTGTCCATTAGTATTTTTTGTTAATTGTGTGCTGCACATACTGAATGTCCATTTAGCTAATAAACTCATGTGCCCATATAGGTACCTTTTCGGGGAGCCCATGACAATAGAGGATTGTGTGTTATCTGTTATTACATGATAACAGCATATCATCATCTTTCTTATCTGTGTACTGCTGTCCTTCACATCAGCTTATACCATAAACTATGCATTCATGCTGGCTCTTCTTTCCCTGGAGAGCCAGTTCCTGACTGTTGTCCGGCATGCCCCTGCCCACCACCCCATCACCACCCACGGTGGAACTCGGACTCTGAGACGTCAGCTGGACTCCCACCCAAAACCTAGGTGTCCAAGGGTATGGATTTCCCTGACTTTCACCTCAATTCCATGATTTGCCAAACTGAATAAACACGGCCGCTTTGCACACTCAGATGTCAGCAAGGACAGTGGGCAGAGTTCCTACGAGACCAAGGAGGAAAACAGAGCGTGTCCGACCAATGAGTCCACAATTACCAAGGGGGTGAAACCAGGCACCCTCACTTGAGAACCAGACAAGGTTGCTGTTGCTCCAGAATATGTGTGTCTGTGCACCGTCATAGCAGGAGGGAGGGTCACCCCAAAAGACCTCAGTCTCGCTCAGGCCCGAAGGAAGGAAGGAAGGAAGGAAGGAAGGAAAGAAGGGAGGAAGAAGGAAGGAAGGAAAGAAGGAAGAAAGAAGGAAGGAAGGAAGGAAGGAATGAGTGTGATCTAGTAGGGCGTCTACAGGGACCCCGGCCCTGCCCCTCCCCCAGAGAAATTCCAGAGTCGTTCCCAACAGGAAGCTCAGGACACCTGCAAAGTCCCTGACCCCAAACACGAGTTTGTTGAGTGAATGAACAAACATCACCCCCAGGTACAGTCGCAAAAGTCCCTAACTTTTAAGTTCACTCCTGTACCTTACAGGCACACAGACGTTTCTATCTACAGCCACCAGTGTTCCTCCAGGAAAATCCAGCTAAAACGTGAACTTGAAAATGGAGATATCACCTCTGCCCTGTGCCTACCTCCTACCTCTCCTAGGCCCACCCTGCTCTGCATCCTCAGATGCACACACCTGGTCAATTCGCCTGTGACTAATATTAGTGGTAGCTGTTCCAGAAGTGAGGATCGTGGTGGTAGTTATTCCATTACAAGCATATTGCTTTGCAATTGTAATCTAACACTGAGTGAAATAATTCCTGGTACTTAATCTGCATTAAGATAGAACAGAAAAAAAAAGAAAAAAAATAGATCAGAAAACATCAATCCACAGTGCAGAGGAATTTGCAAAGTGGGTTGGAGAACTCAGTTCCTATGCAGCCCAACTGGGACTCACACTGGGCAGTGTACGAGCAAATCCATATTCAGACGTCAGGGTTTAATTTCCCCTGAAGAATAAGGAAAGACTTCCCCCTCCCTTTTTCTTAGGACATTTACTTCAGAAAATGTGGGAATTCCTTCTCTGTCTCTTAGAAGTAAGCACATCTTTTCAAAAGCATAACACATCTCTGAGTGTCCTCTCCCTCCTGTCACAGGTCAGGGTCTGGGTGTTCCCTTTCTCCTGTCACAGGTCAAGGTTTGAGTGTCCCCTTTCTCCTGTCACAGGTCAAGGTCTGAGTGTCTGTCTTCAACTCTACATGGAGTTGGTGAAGGGTTGAGGGATACAGGCTCACACGCATTCCTATCACCTTCAAATGAGGTAATACATACCTGATACACTACAGTACACAAGCAATGAGCTGTTTTGTTAAACCTTGTAACTATCTTGTGACTAGTGTATTTGTCTATACGTCCATGTGAAAAGAATTACTATAGTTTCTGTCACCTTGTTTGGCGTTAAATTAAAAAAAAATTTTTTTAAAGTGCTTGGAAACCTCAAAAATGGAATTGTCCAGGCTTCTCTTAAACTCTTGGAGGTCCAGGCCCAGGAAGGATAATTGGTTGGTGATAAACATACACAAGTCAACAGCACCCAGACTAAAACCGACGGAGTGAAGGACGTCGCCCAAGAGAGCTCCTTTATAGGAAAGTAGAAGGAGGCCTCTAAGACCAGAACATTTATTTAAAGGACTCCCTGAAGAGGCGCCTACAAAAGAGGCTAGCCAGGAATGAGATGAGAGAAAAACCACGTAAAAAGAGTTAGAGGAAATATTGCCAATGACGGGGAAAGGAAAATCAGGAGGACGCAAACCAAGACTGAGTTTGAGAGAAGAATTAATCAACAGTGCCAAATATTTCGCTGATTTTCCCCGGTCAGCAACAACCAGAATAACTCTGCCAACCCCCCTCCCCACCATCCTCTCCCCCACCCCCCACCCCCTTACTGTTTATATATCTCTTGCTTCTTTTACAGGGTTTTATCTGGTGGTTTAGTTTATTTCCTTCAATCAGATGGCTCACGCAGAAGGTTTGAACTTACTCATTTCTCTCTTCCATAAGGCCTTACGCTTCCTGCTCAATTAATATCAGTGAAACGATTTGAAGAACATTTGAAAAAAAAAACCGAACAAAGATTCTATTTTCTGCTCCACAGCCAAATTTCCCGAACACGACCCACTGCGCAGGCGCACAGGCTTTCCGGCGAACTCCCGGCTTTCTCGGGTCTTTACATTTGGCGCGAAATCCCAGCTCCGTGGGCGGGGCTGAGGGAGAAGCCGCGTTCATTGGACAGCTTTGGCGCGAAATCCCCGACCTCCTGTGCCACGATTGGCTCCAACCTGACGAGGGGGGAGAAGGGGCGGAGCGGAGGCGGCGCGCGCAAAGCTCCAGCGTCGGAGGAGAAGCGGCTCTTTGCGGTGAAGCGTGGCGCCCGCGGCCCCTCAGCTCTAGGCAGCGATGGACCTCGCGGCAGCAGCAGAGCCGGGCGCCGGCAGCCAGCATCTGGAAGTCCGCGACGAGGTGGCCGAGAAGTGCCAAAAACTGTTCCTGGACTTCTTGGAGGAGTAAGTCGGCGGGCACCCCTTCCTTAGCGGAACTGCTCCTGCCGCAGCTCCCAGCTTCCGGAGGCCGGGGGCGCCGCGGGGCCCGCGCGTGTACGGGAACCGAGGGGTCGCGCGCCTGGGAGAGCGGCCCACGCCCTACGGGGGCTTAGCCGGGCTACGGAGAGAGACCTGGGCCTCGCCGGCCTTGTTCCTAGGGGTAGACTCCATATGGAGCCCTTCCTCGGACTCGCGCAGTGCCGAGCGCTTTAGGGCCTTTATTCGGTCCTCATGACCTGCAAGGCTGGTGCTCGCGTGGTCCCCGGTCACCGGGGCGGAAGCTGAGGCTCGGTGGGGATGAATAACTCGTCTAGTTCGGCCGCACGTCGGCAGGGTGCAAGGGAGAGGCCGAACCGGCCTTGGAATCCTGGCGGGGTCCCGACTCGGGTCCACCCAGGGCCTGGCTCCTTGGAGCCCTTGGAGATGAAAGAACTAGAGCGAACCCTATGGTTTGACAGATACTCAGGCGGGGGTCGGCCTGCCCTGCTGAAGTGGCAGAACGCCCTCCCTCTCTTCCTTCCTTGCCTTCCAACCCCGCAAACCCCACTCTTCTTTTTTTCTGTTGCCTTTTTTAGGCTCCAGGCCTCTCTAAACCCCCTTCGCTGGCTCTAAACCACTGCCACCAGTCAGATGGCAGATACGCGACATGTCACTGCTTTCCCTAAAAGTAGGGACTCTGCTACCTGCAGGAAGATGTGGAAACACTTTGAAATGTCTTAAATTCTTTTTTTTTTTTCGGTTGTGGTAAAATAGACGTAATATGAAATTTACAATCAACCTTTTTTAAACGTAGAATTCAGTGGCATTAAGTACATTTACCTTGTTGCACAAGCATCACGGCTGTCCATCTCCAGAACTCTTCTTCCCAAAGTGAAACTCTGCAGCCACTTAAACAGTAACTCACCATTCCCCCCACCCTCCAGCACCTGGCAACCACCAGTCTATTTTCTGTCAGACTTGGAGTCGTGGTATTTGTCCTCTTGTGACCAGCTTACTTCACTTAGCATAATGTCTACAAGGTTCATCCATGTCCTAACATGTGCCAGAATTTCCTTTTTAAGAGTGAATAGTATTTCATTGTATGTATACACCATATTCCGTTTGTCTGTTTATCCATCCATGGACACGTGGGTCGTTTCCACACTTTGGCTGTTGTGAACAATTCTGCTGTCTTATGAAATTCTGATATACTTGAAACCATAATTTATATTTCCCTGCCTTTGGCAATGTTATTCTCTCCCTGACAGCTGTTCATTCTTCAGAGCCCAGCTCAAGATTCCTACCTGCTTGTTAAACCCTATAAACCTTTCAGTAGCACCACTCCTTTCTTCCCTTATGTTCCTAAGGTACCATTTTCCATTATCTCTGGTAGTATATCTTTACCTGTCAGCTCTTTCATCTGAATACAAATCCCATCTTTAACCCCACCTAGCCACCACACCACTTGTTAACGGTCCTCAATTAATGTTTGATTTCAACAAATGATGTAATTGCCTTCATTTCCTTGCAGTCTGCCATGCAGCTAACTGCTGGACGTAATGATGAACTAGACTAATAATCCCTGTATTTGTTGGGAAAATGTTAACTCCCTCTCAAAATACTGACTTTGATTTGCCATTGCTTATAGAATAAAGTCCAGATTCTTCACAGCTGCTCTTTCCAGATTCATCTTCCACAGTCATTCTGTCATCCACACTCCTTCCATACCTTTTCTGACTTTGCCACATACTTGGAAACATCTTTAGCCAGTCTATCTACCATTCATTTTTCTTTCAAATTTTGATTCCTCCAAAGCCAAATTCTAGTGCTTTCTTTTATATACCTGAGGCCTTTCTAAATGTTCCTGTTAGGCAGAATTAGTTTATATTCCCCTGTCACATTTCTTGTACCTCTTCCTTTTTTTTTTCCTTCTTTTTTAATTTTACTGTGTAAAGAATACTTAACATGAGATCTACCCTCTTCACAGATTTTTAACTGTACTAAATATTGTACAGTAGATCTGTTAGACCTTATTCATCTTACTTGACTGAAACTTTATGCCTGTTGATTAGTACCTCCACCTTTTCCTCTTCTTCCAACCACCGTTCCACTCTTCGATTTTATGAATTTGACTATTTTAGATATCTCATATAAGTAGACTCATGTGATGTTTGTCTTTCTGTAATTGGCTTTTATCATATAGCACCATGTCCTTAATGTTCAACCATGTTGAGACATTGCAGAAAATCCTGTTTTAAAATGGAATAATATTCCATTGTATGTGTATACTACATTTTGTTTATTCCTTTTTCATGGACATTTAGATGTCTTGTTCTTCTCTTTAGTAGAAATGTCTCCTATGAGAGACCGTAGGAGAGGAGCAACACTGTCATTTCCATCTTATGGTACCTGTGGATAGTGCTCTGCAGATAGATGTTGTTCAACAGAGTGAGAACATGCAATATTTGAAGGAGGAATTGATTTTTCCTCAAAACTAAACTGCATGTTATGTTAAGAGACCAGAAAGCAAGTGTGTTTGTATGATACCCTTGGAAAAAAACATAACAGCTTCACATTGTGTGTATGTATTTTTCCATTTTCCTGAGGTCTTGGGCGGTGAAGCACTTCATTTCTGTGTATTTACTTTTACTCTGGTTTTAAATCAACAACTGATCTGTCAGTTTTCCCTTTAGAAATTAAATCTTTGTACTTTAACCTGAATTTCTTGGTTTAATACTTTCTAATCAACAAATGCTAACTATTTTATTGTTGGTATGTACAGTTAAGATTGGAAAATGTTAAATAAAGAAGTTCAGATTTAAATTTGAAGACTCAGTTTTCCTGTGTTCCAGACTGCACAAAACATTTACAAGCATTCTCCCACTTAATCTTCACAGTAATCTTATGAGATAAGATGATGTTCTGATCTTTTTTATAATTTTCAAAAATAAGAGGGACAGGTTTAGAGAGTGTAAGTAACTTGCCCCAAGTTATACAACTACTAAAATGGGCCTGTCTGACCGTAAGGCTGACAGTTTTTAGCCAATACGCTGAATTATCAGGCATTCAGATTCTCCTTTTTAGTGCCTAATTCTCGAATTTTATCTTAATTGCATATATCTGCAGGTTCCAGAACAGCGATGGGGAAATTAAGTACTTGCAGTTAGCTGAGGAGCTAATTCGTCCGGAGAGAAACACATTGGTTGTGAGTTTTGTGGACCTGGAGCAATTTAACCAGCAACTTTCCACCACCATTCAAGAGGAGTTCTATAGGTATCATGTATTAATCTTTACTTTAAATTAAACATGGAGCCTGGGAAGCCATCTCTTCTTGGAATAGAAGTGTTCATTTTTGAGGCAAAAGGGCAGCTGTCATAGAGGCCCTTTAATACAGCCAGTAGTCATTTTAATGCTGCTCTGAACTAATTTAGGCCTTTGTGGAGTTGAAAATTTTTCACATGCAGATGTTGAAAACTACTGCTTTCTACATAATTTTCCCAAATGTTAAGAGGATTGCTTGCTTTGTGTCAGGCATGCAATGCTATTGTCAAGCATTCAGTGCTGTTGCTATGTTGTTCATTTAATCCACTGCCCACCCCTACCCATGTCATATAAAATCTCTTGAAACATTTTAAAAGCTGAATGGTTTTTTTTTTTTTTTGGCACAAATTCGACACTACATTTAATAATTTAGGCTTTTGTTTTGCTTTCACTTGCTATATAAAACCAAAAATATCTTTCTACACAAATCTTTGTCTGCATTTGTATTAAATAAATGTGACAATCTGTATAAATAAAATCAGGTTAAAATAAACACTGTAGACAGTTGTGAAGGAGAAATGAAGACCCAGGAGTACGGATACACAGTTTTGTTCTTTTACTTGGTAGACTGGAAAATGGAGGATTTGTCTCCAAGTTTCTAGTCATATCTGACCATCAAGAATGGTTGGAGAGGTAAGCAGTAGAGTTTACTGTGAAAATATGTAGCAGGAAAAGTTGTACTGACAAGTACAAGTGAGAGGAAGTAGAAAATTGGGGCTGATGGTAGAAACACCTATGCACAGACCATGGAGCAGTTCTGTCTCCTGAAAGTAGCTGATTTTTCAGAGGACTTCCAGATCCCACTGCTTAAATAAACCAAGTTGCCACAGCTATTGAAAAACTTAAATCAAGAGGACACGCACACTTCCATCTAACCAGTTAGTTGAAACGTTTCTACCAACTTGCTCTCACACCAGTACACAAATTCCTTCCCTGACCTCATCCATTTCCTATCAATCAAAAATTAAACCTAGAAAAGTACAGTAGGCCTTGACACCAAATGAGAGGCTGCCTTGCTCAGGTGGTTCAGGTAGAGTTATCTTGGATAGAGAAGTGGCTTGCAGTGTGCATGCTAAATGCTTATTTAAAGATAATAGACATTCAGGAACAGCATTTTATCTTTGGTGTTTCTGTTGCCTTAGATGTATTTATGGTGGAATAAAAAAGGATTGGAGAAGTTCTTAAACCTAGACCGGATGATAAAAGTATCCTGCAGAGTTAAATTCTAAAGATGAAATTCCTTAGTTTCAGCTGTTAGGAATCATGAAAGGGGAAGGAGGTCTCAGTTAGCCTCTTGAAGATGTTAAGTTGTTTTTTCTTTGTTTGCTTTTCAGAGTTTACCCTTACCTTTGTCGGGCCTTGAAAACCTTTGTCAAAGACCGTAAAGAAATCCCTCTTGCCAAGGATTTTTATGTTGCATTTCAAGATTTACCTTCCAGACACAAGTAAGAAACCCTTGTTTGAAAGAAAAAGAATTCACCAAATAGTATAGGCATCACTTACTTGTCAAAAGCTCAAAAGGTTATAGTCTTAGATCTGTAATGAGTTATACCCAACTATCCAAAAGGTTTAGTTTTGGAAAATCTCTATTTCCAGGGAAATGAGATGGAAAGTAAGTTAAGTGAAGTAATTTCTGGGGATTGTCATATTTCAGGACCCCTTTTAAGGGATGTTTGGGTGAAAAATTAGTTCACTGAGAAAATACGAAAACTGAGAAAGAAGTTAATGAACTTTGGATATTTTTGTCAACAGCTTAAACAACATAAACAGTTTAAAACTTTTCCTATTTAACAGTTATTTAAAGAATAAATTGAACTGATATTTTGAAAACTTGAACTACTGAAATTACTTATAAAATTACCAAGTTATTTAATATAAAAGTGGGTTTGTAAAATAAAGTGAAGGTGTTTTCTGAACTTCCAAGTTCAGGAAAATATTTTTCCCATGATAATTTTATCATGAAAATAATATATGCTTATTTGGAAATTGTAGGTAAGCAAAAAAATATATTTGCATATAAAACATATTTGTTCTTTTATGTATTCTGTATTTATGTATTTTGTTGTGGATGTGTGTACATTATACTTTAGGAATGGGCATATTGATTAATCATTCTCATAGGAGAGTCCTTATGTTTTGTTGTTTTAAGCATAAATTATCATTGAATGAAGGTATAGCTCAGTGGTAGAGTGGAAGTACCTCCATCAAAAAATAAATAAATAGACTAATTCCCCCCAAAAAAGAAAAAATTTTCTTAGTTTGGAAATGAAAATTTGCTAATGCAATATCTGCCTTTAAACAGAATTCGAGAACTCACCTCATCCAGAATTGGTTTGCTCACGCGCATCAGTGGGCAGGTGGTACGGACTCACCCGGTTCACCCAGAGCTTGTGAGTGGAACTTTTCTGTGCTTGGACTGTCAGACAATGATCAAGGATGTAGAGCAGCAGTTCAAATACACTCAGCCAAACATCTGCCGAAATCCAGTTTGTGCCAACAGAAGGAGATTCCTGCTGGATACGAATAAATCAAGATTTGTTGATTTTCAAAAGGTATTTATTAACTTTTATTAAGGTCAGATTCAACCTATGCTAATAATTCACTTCTGGGCACTTGTAATTATTACTGTAAGCTTATTTAGGCAATGTTAAACTCAGTTTTTATGTCAGTCAAGGATCAAGTGTGACTATAGATTTAAACCAAAAAAGCATAATGCAGATTTCAATTGTCAATATATAAATGTGTTTTTAACCTTTAATAACTTGGATTGGGAGCATCTTCAGACAAGTAAAATGTATTTGTCAAAGAATAAACGTAACCATTATTTTTGTTATTGTTATGAACTGGAGTAAAGAAAACTGGAGAATTAGAGGCTTGTTGGTATAAGACTCGAAGTTGTTGGTTAGGAGGGAGGAAATAGACATGCTTGTTGATAGCAATGAGGATTATCATGGTTAAAGCAGAAGAACTAAATTGGAAATCACCTGGGTGATGATTTGGTGTGAGGCATGGAAGTAGTTGGAGTCTTAAATCTCAGATTGAGAAGTTTGGACTTACCTTGATAAGCAAGGTGAGTACATTTTCAGAGGATGTGAATTTTTCTTTGTTATAGAAAGATTAACGGGACAGTTGTGTATAGTATTTAATAAGAGACTAATTGGCAGTTGTAGTTACCTGGGCAAGAGTTGGATGGTAGCAGTAAGAATGAAGGGAGAAGATCTCAAATCTCTTTAGGACTTAGTAACTCTGGGATATGCAAGAGGAAAAAAGTTGCAGCAGCTCAAGCACAGGGAGAATGAGTATCAGACTAAAATAAAAAGAAGATATTAAATTCAGTTTTTAGCCCTTACCTAGTTTTCTTACATTATTCTGATACTTGGTTTGTAAGAAGCATGTACTCTACCAACAACTTTTGGTAAGAGATGCTTTATATTTGATAAAGAATATGATATAACAACCAAATACAAAATATGAATCTAGGTTGAGTCTTGGTTTGGGGGGAAAAACAGCTGTAATAAAAGACATTCTTGACAATTGGAGAAATTTGAAGATGGACTAGGTAATATAAGAAATTCTGGAATTAAGGATTTAATTCTCTTGTAATTCTCTTGTGTAATTGATGGTATTGTGGTTACACAGAAGATTGTTTCTTAGAAGATGAGTGCTAAAATATTTAAGGGTGAAGTATCTTGATTTTTGCAACTTCTTTCAAATAGTTCAGTGAAAATTTGTATTAAATAATGTTAACAGTTGCATTAAGGTGGAGGATATACCACATGTGAAATTTTTCATAAAATTTACCTAACAACTTAGAGGAAGATGAAACACAGAACAGATATTTAAAGTCAATTTGAACAAAGAGGAAAAAAGATTCATGTATTGCTTAATGAGAGTAAAAGTGAATTTGAGGTTTTTGAATAGATGTAATCTCTTACCAAACTGAAAGGAGTTTTACAGTAGAGAATTTTTAAGATGAATGTTGGCATATGTCAAAAGTCTACAAACTGGTAAGATAATTTAAGGTATGTTAATATTTGTGGCATTTAATTTAGATTGCATGGCATTTGAGGAAACTCTGTTTTCATTCTTGGCCATTTACTTGTCTTTATAGGTTCGTATTCAAGAGACTCAAGCTGAGCTTCCACGAGGGAGTATCCCCCGCAGTTTAGAAGTGATCTTGAGGGCTGAAGCTGTGGAATCAGCTCAAGCTGGTGACAAGTGTGACTTTACAGGGACACTGATTGTTGTGCCTGATGTGTCTAAGCTTAGCACACCAGGTCAGTAATCTGTAGCTCAAATTTAACAAATTTTTAGTTATCTGAACTTCAGAGTATCTAGCTTCTTGGATTTTCCTTGTCTTATTTTTGGCTACCGATCAGAGTGTGAGCAGTAACAAGAATAAATTGATTTTTGCTACAAAATGTACTATTCTGAAAATTTTCAAAGCCTAAATGAAATTTGGGGGTTTATAAGTTTCATTTATCTGTGCAGTTTTGATTTTCAGCCCCTTCAGTATTTCAGTGTGAAATAACCTACTATTCAATCTTTCAGGAGCACGTGCAGAAACTAATTCCCGTGTCAGTGGTGTTGATGGATATGAGACAGAAGGCATTCGAGGACTCCGGGCACTTGGTGTTAGGGACCTTTCATATAGGCTGGTCTTTCTTGCCTGCTGTGTTGCACCAACCAATCCAAGGGTGAGTCTTAGTAGAATGGCAATGCCTGGGAAAGACATCCCCTGAGGCTGCCACAAAGTTATAGTCCTCTGAAATTCAGTGTTAAAGGCAGGGGGTTAGGTTGAGATATGTTTTAAAACCAAATTTCTTGTCTATTTTTCTGACTTAGGGAAAAGTCTTACTAGTTTTCATACATAAGAGCTCAGTGCTTTAAGACCATTGGTACAATATTATCTATAGTGGCTTTTCTGTTTTTGTTTTTAATTGTCACAGTTCGTCTGTAATGCTTCTTGAGAAAGTACAAATAAAAAAATTAGTAATCTGGCAAGTAAAGTAAATTGCTCTAAGAGTGATGGACTTCCAATATTACAGTTTTTCAGAACTTGATTTTGTATCCAGGGTGGGATTACAGTGAAAAGTCTGGAAAACACTCCAGTATTGGAAAACAAGGGGTGAACATAATACTCTGTTACTTCATTTTCATCTTCGTATCAGTGATTAACATTCTGTTATGGCTTATCTCTTGGGCATCTAGATTCATTTAGATAGCAATACGAAACTATGGTTGTAGCTTTTTTGTTTGTTTTTTGTAGGGAGGAGGTAATTAGGTTTATTTGTTTATTTATTTTAATGGAAGTACTGGGGATTGAACCCGAGACCTTATGCAGGGTAAGCATGCATTCTGCCATTGAGCTATACCCACCCCACCCTCACCACAACTTTTTTGTTATTTTTAATTCCCTGGACAAATGACAAGCTCTTTAGTATATTGATTAACTTAGGATATGCTGATTAGATTTTCCAAAACCTTTACATAAAGTCAACATATTCTGAAGTTGACCTCCCAAGGCTGTATTTTGTTTGTGGTGACATTTCTTCTCTTTCACATTATTTTGACTTTTTTTTTTCAAAGTAGCAATATATTTATTTACAAAATATACAGTTTCACAGAAACAGCTTCACTTTATCCACATAAACTTTACAATTATACAGAACCATGTAAATGATGTTAAGTGTCTGGCTTGGCCAAAGCCAGTGGGAGGGTATTTTGATTATTTCTATTTTTTCCTTTCTTCTCCACCTCTCAGTTTGGAGGAAAAGAGCTTCGAGATGAGGAACAGACAGCTGAGAGCATTAAGAACCAAATGACTGTGAAAGAGTGGGAGAAAGTGTTTGAAATGAGTCAAGATAAAAATCTATACCACAATCTTTGTACAAGCCTGTTCCCTACCATACATGGTAAGAGTTCTATCCATTTGTTGTCTAAAATTGAGATCAAAGTAATGGTTATAAAATAGCAACATGTGACTTCTTAAAGCACATAAATCTGATCATGGAAGTTTTTTAGTGGACTTAGAAGGGGTCTTAAGTTGTTTGTAAAGGGACAGATATATGATTGCACTTAAAATGAGGTACCTAGAATAGATAAATTCATAGAGACGAAGTAGAAAGACATTACCTGGTGGGAAGAGAAATAGAGAATTATTGTTTAATGGATAGTTTCTGTTTAAGATGATGAAAAGTTCTAGAAATGGATAGGGGTGATGGTTATAAAAGGTAGTGAATGTACTTAATTCCACTGAACTGTACACTTAAAAATGGTTGAAATGGTAAATTTTCTGTTGTGTATATTTTACCACAAATTTTTTTAAAAGAAAAGAAGTTATTTAGTCTTCTTTTTCTGGCTTTAGGACAGAACTGCACTTAAGTATATTATAATATGCTAGATTAATATGCTGATCTTGTTTTTCTTTTTAATTTTCACTACAGAGAGATTTCATTATGTTTTTTAGTTATATGTACTGTGCCTGTACTTTGTGGTTTCTTCTTTCACATTTTCTTAGCTTTTGGTTACTAGCTGCTCACTGGCATTAAAATCTCCTTGTGTGTTGAAGGATATGATTAAATTTTCAGGCTTTATGCTTTACCCTTTTCCTTTTCCATCCTTATTTTCCATGTTTAGTTGAAGTTGTGGCAAGAATTTATAAGATTATGGGTATTTCTCTTAGGTATATATTTTTAGTCAGTAAAAACTAACCCTTTTTTCCTATTTAAATAATTGTTCAGTGAAATTGAACTGAAGTCCTCTATGTTAATAGAGTGTCCTCCCTTATAATGATAAGTGTCAAATTTTTATGCTGGTTCATTCCCCCCATAAATTAGTCTATTGCTACATAACAAATTATCCCAAAATTCATGGCTTTAAACAACAAACATCTCGTACAGTGTGTAGGTAAGGAATTTGAGAGAGACTGGGTGTGTAGCTGGGTGATTCTGGCTTAGTTCTTGATGAGTTTGTCACCAAGACATCAACTGGGGCTGCAGTTATCTGAAGACTTGACTTGGGCTGGAGGGTCCTCTTACGAGGGGACTCACTCACTGCTTATCTGTTAGTGCTAGTTGTTAGCTGGAAGCCTCAATTCCTTGCCACATGAATCTCTTCCATTGGGCTGTTTTAGTGTAGTCAAAACCCAGCAGCTGGCTTCCTCCAGAGCATGTAGTCCAAGAGAGCAAAACAAGGAGGAAGCAAAATGCTTCTCAGGACCTAGTCTTGGAAGTTCATCCACATTTAGGGAGAGGAGAATTAAGCTCTACCTGGAAATGAGGATTATTAAAGAATTTGTGGTCTATTCAAAACCAACCACACCTCCAACATATTTGTTTCATATAGGTCAGTCATAGAAATTTTGTTTTTGGAATGGTTTTTTAATTTTCTGCTTTTAAGGGGTGATTTGTCTAAATGTGCCTAGCACTGTGTAAATGGAATTCACAGAAAGTCATCATAATTAAAAGAGAAAAATGTTTCTTTCAGTATCACATTTCTAATAATCTGGTCTTTTTTTTTAACCACATTTCCTTCTTATATTGGGTTTTTTAGAAGCAGATGTAAATCACATTTGCATCTTACCTAATCCATTTCAGTTCAATTAGCATGTATTTATGTTAGCATGGTTCACCATTCTGATACAAAAGAAGTAAGTCGTGGACCATTTCCTCAAACTTGATAGAACTGCAAGAGAAAGAACTAGCAAGTGTGGTAGGGTGCAATGGACATAGTTTATTTATTGGGAGAGATATTTGGGGACTGTGACATCAGAGAAGGCTTTGTGTAGGAAGTACGACTTATGGACAAGGAAAGTCTCTTAGAATGGTGAGCATTGGTGTCTGTGATTAAGTGAAGACATTAGAACAGTGATTAGGTGACTTTATGTTCAGAGAGCAAGAACCAGGATTAGAAACCAGATATTTTTACCGCAGTCTAAACTTTGCTTTAGCTATCTCTGCTCTTTTGGTTGGTAAATATACCTTTGTAGTTTCCTATGAAATTGTTTAACTTCATGTTGAAAAATACCTTGGGTTTTTGTTTCAGGCAATGATGAAGTAAAACGGGGTGTCTTGCTGATGCTCTTTGGTGGCGTTCCAAAGACAACGGGGGAAGGAACCTCTCTTCGAGGGGATATAAATGTTTGCATTGTTGGTGACCCAAGTACAGCTAAGAGCCAGTTTCTCAAGTAAGTGTTTGTCTGAGATAGGACAACAGAGAACAGTATACCTAGAACAGTAGTTACAGGCTTTCTGTGCTACCAAGAATGCAGTCAGTGTGCCTTTACCAGAGAAAGAGTATAAATTATGACTGATGACTCTATAACTCTTAGATTACACCTTAATTTGTTAAGTAGAATGTAACAACATTTTATAATTTTTTGAAATGGGGAAAAATTATAATCTCAATCCCACATAGAATTCTTTTGATCTTTGTATAAAAGACTTTGAATAAATGATTGTAAGTCACAGCATGTGTATTTTTAATTTTGAGTTACCCTAAATATTTTCCTGTGTTTCTTTATTTTCAATTTTTTTTTCTGGTAAACTATAACTTAAAAAGTCATTTTCCTAACCTGATATTAGATAATTTAACAGAGTAGTTTATTTTAATGATTACAGATGTTAATACAGTGAACATCATAGTATGTATAAGTTTTTCCCCCACTTTGGGGGAAATTCCTAGCCATAGGATTGCTGAGATTAAGAATGTAAACATCTTTAAGGTTCTTAAACACAACACTCTTTCCAAAAGCAGTGCTATAAAAACAAGACATTTTATGCTAAACTTTTCAGTATGAGTACCACTGTAGCAATTTTTGCTTTTTTGTAGAAACTATAGTAAATACTTGGTTACTTTCAAACTTTTAAGAAACTTAAAGGTCAAGATAATAACAATGAGTTTTTGAGCATCTGCTATGTTCTTGATGATTGTGTGTGTGTGTTACGTCTTAACCTAGCAGCATTCAAACAGGCAAGTAATTTAGGGAGGCAAACAAAAGTTCTCTGAGCCTCAGTAACTTACCCAACTTCTCATAGCTAACAAGTGACTCTAAGCCATGAATATTAGAACTCAGCATTTGACTACAAAGCATGTGCTTTTTGTACTATGTCAAGCTGCCTTTCCTTTATTTGTTTGGGAGATTTTTAACATGGCAGTGTTCTAGAATATAGATCATCTTAAGTTGGAGTTTGTTAAATACTGTTTCCTTTAAGTATATCAGGGACTGAGTTCTAGATTTGAAGATAGTAGTCCTATTTTAAAAGGAATTATTTTTTTCCTCTTTATGTCCTCTTCTGCCTCCTTACCACCACCACAAAAAAATGCACTGCATATTTCCTCTGATAGCAGTATTGTACATGATTGTCTTAGGCAGAAATAGCCTTTATATCTGTCTAGTGGGGTTTTTAGCATCTGTATTGCAATATAATTTACATAGCTTAAAATTCACTCCATTTTAGTATTTTCACAAAGTTATACAACCACCACCAAACTCAGTTTAGAACATTTTCATCACCCAGAAAGAAATCCTGTACCCACTAGCAATCACTCTTCATTCTCTCCGCTAGCCATAGGCAATGGATAATTACTTTTGTGTCTATCTGGACATTTTATATAAGTGGAATCATATTCTATGGGGTCTTTGTGACTGGCTTCTTCCAGTTACTATATTATCAAGGTTCAGCCATGTTGTAATATGCATCAGTACATAATTTCCTTTTATTGCCTGATAATCTTTTGTCATATGTATGTATCATATTTATCTATTCATCAGTTAATGGAAGTTTAGATAGTTTATACTTCGTATTTTATAAGTAATGAAGCTTTGAACATTAGTGTATAAGTTTTTCACCATTTTTTTATTGTAATACACGTGAGACTTACTGTCTTAAATGTCTTTCATGTACACTTCAGTGGCATTAAGCACATTCAAATTGTGCAGCCATCACCACCATCCATCTTCAGAACTTTCTGATCTTCTCAAACTGAAACTGTTCCCATTGAACAATAACTCCCCATTCCTCCCTCTCCTCATCCCCTAGCAACCAAAATTCTACTTTTTGTCACTGAATCTGATTATTCTAGTCCCTCATGTAAGTGGAATCATGTATATTTGTCCTTTTGTGACTGGCTTATTTCACTTAGGATAATGTATTCAGGGGTCATCCATGTTGTGGAATGTCTTGGAATTTCCCTCTTTTTTAAGACTGCATAATACTTCATTGTATTTATCACATTTTATTAATCCATTCATCAGTGAACATTTGAGTTGTTCCTACCTTTGGGCTTTTGTGAATTTTCACAGTATCTGTTCAGGTCACAATGTATCTGTTCATGTCCTTGTTTTTGTTTCTTTTATTTATTTTATTCTTGTATTCTTTAATTTAGTTCTCTTAAATTTAGGTCATTGGTCCATTTTGAGTTAACTTTTGTATATGGTTTGAAGTAGAGGTTCAGCTTTATTCTTTTGCATTTGGATATTCGATTGTCCCCAAATCAAGACTATTCTTTTACTCCATTGAATTATTTTGGCATTCTTGTTGACAATCACTTGATCATAAATACGAGAATGTATTTCAGCACTTTGAATTAAATTTTATTCTCTATGTCTGTCCTTAGGCTAGTATCACACTGTCTTGATTACTATAGCTTTTGTGGTAAGTTTTAAAATCAAGAATTGTGAGTCATCCAACTCTGTTTTTCTTCCAGATTGTTTTGGTTTTTCTGGGTCCCTTGAGTTTCCACATGAATTTTAGGAACAGCTTGTCCATTTCTACAAAGTTAGCTATGATATTAATAGGGAGTGCACTGAATCTGTAGATCAATTTGAGGTCTATTTGCTCTTTAACAGTATTAAGTCTTTTGATCCATGAACATGGGCTGTCTTTCCATTTATTTAGGTCTTCTTTAATTTCTTTCAACAATGTTTTGCAGTTTTCAGGGTATAAGCTTATGCTTCTTTTATTAAATTTATTCCTAAGAATTGTATTCTTTTTGATGCTATTATAAATGGAGCTGTTTTCTTAGTTTCATTTTTAGGTTGTTCATTGCAAGTGTGTAGAAATATAATTGATTATTGATCTCCCATCTTACAACATTGCAAGAACTAATTTTTGTAGTTCTGCTTTTAGTGGATTTTGTAGAATTTTTCTCTCCAAGATCATGTTAGCTGCAAACAGTGATGATTGTTCTTCCTTACAAATCTGGGTGCCTTTATCTTTTTCTTGCCTAATTGCCTTTGGTGGACCTTTCAGTATATTGTGGAACAGAAATGGCAAGAGCAGGCCCCATGTCTTGTTCTGGCTCTCAGGAGGAAAGCTTTCAGCTTTTTACCATTAAGTATGTTAGCTGTGGGTTTCCATAGATGCCCTTTATCAGGTTGAGGGAAAGTGTCCTCTATTCTAGTTAGAGTTTTTGTCATGAAAGGATGTTGGATTTTGTCACATGCATTTTTTTTTTTTTGCGTCTGTATTGAGATGGTTTTTATCCTTTATTAATGTGATGTATTATTGATTCTTAGATGTTAAACCAGCCTTGCTTTTTTGGAATAAATCTTACATCCAGGTGGGAGAGGCTGTAGCTCAATGATAGAGCACATGCTTAGCATGCACAAGGTCCTGGGTTTAATCCCCAGTACTTCCATCAAAATAAGTAAACCTAATTACACCCCCCCCCAAAGAAATATAAAAATAATTTAAAAAATAAATCTCACATCTAGTTTTGTTTTATTTTCATTTTTTAAGTGCAAGGCCTTCTAACAGATCATTGTTGTTGAACTGTTTATTATTGATGTTTTTATCATGTATGAACTTCATCTTCCATTTGACAGGAATGAGTTTAACCTATTTAAAAGACCAAAGGAAAAAAGGCTTTCTGTTTGGTCTATGACATGTGTCTTTATGAAATGCTGTTTCTTAATGCTTCTCTCTTTCTTTCTTTCTTTTTTTTTTAAGAAATACAAATTCTTACTTGACATAAATCCTATCACCTAAGATTCTTGAAAAGGATGCTTTAATGTCATATACTAGTAGTCATATATTAATGAACATGATAACCTTGAACAGGCACGTGGAAGAATTCAGTCCCAGAGCTGTCTACACCAGTGGCAAAGCATCCAGTGCTGCTGGCTTAACAGCAGCTGTTGTGAGAGATGAAGAATCTCATGAGTTTGTCATTGAGGCTGGAGCTTTGATGCTGGCTGATAATGTAAGAACATTTTACCCTCTTGGATACAAGTAAATCAGAATATCCCCTACCCTATCAATAAAGACCTGTAAGTGTCTATTAAGAAGATATCCTTTTTTTTTAAAGCACTTTTAGTAAATAATTCATGGTTTTAGTAATCTAGAATTTAATTGGGATTCATCATTAATCAGCACTTTCTGAACTTCTGTAGAATGTGCTGCATGCCCTGAGCTGGTGTGTTTGCTGACTAGTACTTCTCAGCACTTTTTGCTTACTAGACTGTGGCATATCTATGAGTGCATCCATTACATTTCACATGTATTTGTCAAATATCATTTAGATCTGTGAACGCATATAAGTTGTAGCTATATATACTTAGAAACATTATGTTCCAACTTCACCCTTCAGTTCCCCAGCCTAAAATCAATACTGAAGTGACCAGAATATTTTGATTCTGAGATTTGCACAAGGTTTTGGTGTTGAGTTAAAGTGCAGTAAGTAACTATGTTTTTAGTTTTACTCAGTTTAAAATGAGTCAGAAGCAAATGGTTCCTTCTAGCTCTGGGATCTATTGTATTGTCTTACTCTGGTAGGGAAAACTAGGATTGCTTACTTACCTATCTTCATTGTTTAGAGAATGGAAAGGTCTCTGTGGTAGCAAACTGAGTTTCTTTCCTGTTTGACACCTGAAAGGCAGTTTCTTATGCTAGCTTTGTTTGGTTATAGGGTGTATGTTGCATTGATGAATTTGATAAGATGGATGTGCGGGATCAAGTTGCTATTCATGAAGCCATGGAACAGCAGACCATCTCCATCACTAAAGCAGGAGTGAAGGTATGTGTGTCCACTTCTGTTCCATTGCATTGTGCTTTAGCCTTGTAGAAAAATACAGCTCTAGAGATGATAACTTGGGTAAAATGCATTACTTCAATATGAAATGCTGTTTATTGAAATGGAAAACACAGCCCTGAGGATTATTGATACAAATTATAGGTGCTATTTAGGGTACTGTGAAAATAATGTTATGACAAGAAGTAGGGTAGGTACTGGTGAAATTTTCAGCACTTAGAAAATTTCCGCAGAGCTTCTATAGTCTTTGATAAAGTTTGCTTCCAATTGTAACAAAAAGAATCAAAATCCACAGATTATTTAATGAAAACAATAAATACAGTGTTGTAACTAGCATTAGAGAGAAACCAAACTTTAAAAATAAAAGTAATACATTCAAATAGTTAAGAAAAATGTAAGCAGTACATTAAAATATAAGTTAAAAAGAGAAATCTTCCCCTCCAACTCCCAGCACGAATAGATACTCAGAAGTATTTGCTGAGTTTATGCCCCTTTTAGGAATATTTTATCATAAATAAGCATAATACACACAGTTTCGTTCCTTGCTCATTTAACTTCATAATTTTATTTTGGTAATCTTTCTATATACCAGTGCATGTTAGGTCCACTTTGGTTTTTTATTAGTCCATGATTTTCAGTTGTATATATCCCAGTTTGGCTCATCAGACTCATAGAGTGACATTTAGGTCATTTCCAGTCTTTTGTACTCAAACAATATTGTAGTAAACATCCTTGTGCACATCTTCCTGTACCTAGCTTCAAGATAAATTCTTAATAAGAAATTACTGGCTTAAAGAGTGTGCACATCATACCACCAACATCATATGGTAGTACTTGTTGTTATGTATTACCAGACTTTAATTTTGATGATTTGGTAAGTGAAAGATGATAATCTTACTATTTCGGTTTGCATTTAGTTACTTATGAGTGAGACTGAGAATTTTGTTGTACGCTATTGGCCATTCCAGTTGTCTCTTTAAACAGGTCTTGATTTTTCCTTTTGTGGTCAGGCTACTCTGAATGCCAGGACGTCCATTTTGGCAGCAGCAAACCCAATCAGTGGACACTACGACAGATCAAAATCATTGAAACAGAATATAAACTTGTCAGCTCCTATCATGTCCCGATTTGATCTCTTCTTTATACTTGTGGATGAGTGTAATGAGGTAACCACATGAGCTGTCACTCTGAGTTTCCTTTGTTATTTCCAGTTTGAGTAATTGAGTGAGACAAGCCTGGAGGATACACTCTTGAAGAGCTGGTGCATGTGTTGGCACTGATCTTTATTTCTCTCATAGTGGCATTGGATTGGACAAAGATTTATTAAGCTACTCAAGATAAAGTCAATTGAATTTGCTCATTCTGCTTAATTGTGTTAAGGAATAGCAAGCTTTTTGTTCTTGTTACTGTTTTTTAATTCTTTATTAAAAAAAAAAAAGGAAGCATGTTACAGTTAATTCCCAACTATACTCTTTAAGATTTTTATAAGAATTCTGTTTGTTTTTTGTTTTTCCGGTAAGGTTGAAAGAATTGGAAGAACAAATTTCTTTTTTTCTTTCTTCTCAAATTATGAGTCATTTGTCTTTATGTATCTTCAGTCAAGTTACTGCATGTATCACTTTTTTTCCCTAATTATGTAGCAGTTTTAAGATTGAGTGTGAAATTATGAATTTACTTGGATTCTAACATGTTAGTACTAGTTTTTTATACTTAAGTATTTCACAACATTGCACATCTCAGATGTGCACGGAACTACAAAATGACCTTCTATAGAAGGTAATATTGTGCTATCCTTTTAATTACATGGAGATCCGACATTACTTTAGGCACAATGCATACCTCTTGCTTACAGCAAAATTTTAAATATTACCTAAATAAAAGCTGTCTTCTATCAATGTGAATGTTTAGAGGGTTTCGATTTTTATGTTTTGGTTTGTTTTCCTTCACAAATCTATATATTTCTGTCTATACATATTTTACTAAATTAGTTTTTTAATTTTTTTTAACTTTTTAGTTGGAAATAATTTCTAACTTACGGAAAAGTTGCAGGAAGTACAATAGTGCATATGGTATCTATATACCCGTTTTTCAGTTCACGCACTTTTTGCCCCATATTCTTTACCATTTGCTCTATATCTCTACATTTTTTTTCTGTACCATTTGACAGTAAATTGCATATTTTTAGTATGATTTTATTTTTTCAATTTTAATAACAATTCTATCATGATTATCTTCATATATTCATAAGCAACAACATAATATAGCTAGGAGGACAGACTCTGAAGCTAGACTCTTCGAATCGTTGCTGTTATTTACTACTGTGATGTTGGAGAAGTTACTTAATCTTTCCAGGCCTCAATTTACTCATCTGTAAAATGGAGTAATACTACCTACCTAATAAAAAGGGTTTTGTGAGAGTACGTGGATTAATGTTTTTAGACATATTTGAGGCAGTAATGCCTGGCATATACTAAGGGCCCTAGAAATCTTATTTCTGGCATGTTGAAGTCAGTTAATTCTTTCAGGAGTAGTCTTAGAATGAGGCAAAGGTATACATTTAAACTTTTGATTCTGGATGAAACTGGTACTTGCCTCAGAAACTTGAACCCATTAATACACCTTATGGTGGCATAATAGAGCTTACTGTTAGCTATAAATAATTTCTTAATGCCTGGTGGGATGGTCCAGAGTGGATATTACTATAACTGATCAAAATGATTTTCTTGTTTTGAATAAGGTTACAGATTATGCTATTGCCAGACGAATAGTAGACTTGCATTCAAGAATTGAGGATTCAATTGATCGTGTCTATTCCCTTGATGACATCAGGAGGTATCTTCTTTTTGCAAGACAGTTTAAACCAAAGGTAACCTGCCCTTTTCTACTGTAATTGGACATAAGGAGTATATGAAAGTGGTACTTAAGCAAAAGTATTACATGGAAATTAACTGAACCTGACTTGTTTGGGTTTTTTTTTTTTAAGGTTGCTTAGTTGGTTGGTTTTGTTTGATTTGGGGTTTTGGAGTTTTTTGTTTCTGTTTTTTGTTTTTGCTTTTTTGTTTTGTTTGAGAACAGTTTTGTTTCTTCAGAGATAGTTAAAAAAAGGAAATTTTTACAAGTCTAAAAAAATTTACTTATTCCATTTCTTTTACTTGTTAGATGCTAATAAAAAGATCTTTATGGATGAAGAGTTTTTGAATAGCCAAATAAAGTAGGCCATCCTTTTATTTAACCATTATTCCTAAGAATCTTAAAACTTCATGTGCTTAAATCAGTAGTCTACTGAATGCTCTCGAGTCTTTCTCTGAGGAAAAACTTGGATTCCTTGAGGTCATTATAATACAGTAATTGATGTAGTTCACTAGATTAAATTAGTACTGGATCCAGGATACTCACTTGGGCATTTATTTTTAAAATAAACCTCCATAATGCATATTTTGTTTGGTATTTTCCTAAAATAAAATATAAAAAAAATGTTTCATTTGATTCTGATTGAGGTTTTTACACTATTTCTGGCTTGACTTTTGAGAATTATGCTTAGATTTTAATTATCCATCATCTTCACTTGATTTTCCATAATATTGGGATTGACTCTCACTGTCCCAAGGGAAGGGTAAAGCATCACTTTTGTTTGCATTTGTTCATGACTATACGCTGGTCCCTCTGTGACCTTTGCATGCTTCCTTAATATGCTGAGTTCCTTGCTTTGAAAAACTGAGGAGTCTTTAAGTGTGCCTCACTTTGTTGTTATTCAACAAATAATAATGTTTACTGAAATAGTATATATACAGCAGTTCCCTGTTACCCACAGTTGATATATTCCAGGATCCCCAGTGGATGCCTGAAACCACAGATAGTACCAAACCCTATATATACTATGTTCTTTCCTATACATATATACCTGTGATAAAGTTTAATTTCTAAATTAGGAACAATAAGAGAATACCTGAATTGCCAGAATTATTACTCTTGTGCTTTGGGACCATTATTAAGTAAAATAAGTGTTAGTTGAACACAAGCGCTGCTGTGTTAACCACAACAGCTAATCTGATAACTGAGATGTCTACTGAGGGATGAATAGGCAGGTAGCAGATAACAGTGTGGACACACTAGACAAAGGGATGATTCACATCCTGGGTGTGGGATATTGGACAGTGTAAAATTTCATCACACTACTGAGAACAGTGCACAATTTAAAACTTATGAATTGTTTCTTTCTGATATTTTCTATTTAATATTTTTGGACCGTAGTTGACCATGGGTAACTGAAACCGCAGAAAGTGAAGCCCCAGAGAAGGGGGGACTACTATATATATTGACCTCTCTTTTTCCCAAAGACTGCGTACATTAATAACTGAGCCTCAAGAATAGCTTGAGTAGTAATTTGTTTAGTGATCTTTGGCATCTTACATATAAAAGTACATATCCTTTTTCCTTTTTTTTTTAGCACGTATCTTTTTAAAATGGTCATTCGCTTAAATACTAACTCTGCTGTCTTCCTGTTCATAAAATTAGTACATAGAATTCATAGTCCTCCTTAGTATTAGTTTCTTTTGAAAGGCATTTCAGTGTTAATTCCTTGTCTTTGGTTTCAAAGTATTGACCTTTGCAGTTCCCCCAGAATATCTGTCTGGGAGGCTCCTAAAAACTAAAGTTTAATGTAGCTCCCATTAAGTAGGAATACTCTGACTTCACTGATGTTCTGAAACAGATTTCTAAAGAGTCAGAGGACTTCATTGTGGAACAGTATAAACGCCTCCGCCAGAGGGATGGTTCTGGAGTAACCAAGTCTTCATGGAGGATTACAGTGCGACAGCTTGAGAGCATGATCCGTCTCTCTGAAGCAATGGCTCGGATGCACTGCTGTGATGAGGTATCAAAATCACTTTAACATAATGGGAAAGAGAAATTGATTTGTTGGCTTATAAGCATGTTTTTGGCTTAGTATAGGACATCCAGTATTTGCTGCAAATTTATTTTTATATAACTGTTGAGTGCTCATAGGATACATGACCCTGGGATTTTTTCCTCTGAAGAAGGTTGCTCTCAAGCATTTATTGAATGTACTAGTTAGATTAATAGTAATGAATAATAATCATAACATAGATTATACAGAACATATAGAAGTGAATTCAAGATTAATGCCATTCATTCAAGAAAATTTGGTTTAAACCCTACAGTGTGCTAGGCCTCTGGGCTGAGGAATACAGAAATGATAATGTAGCCCTCAGTATCCTAAGGAGGAATTCTGCTCCTTAGGTTTGTATAATATGTAGATATTAAATTGTTCTTTGAGCCCTAGGTTCTACAGATACATGTCAGTGGATATTTAAGGAGTAAACGGGGAGCAGTATGGAAGTACATTCACACCCTCATCTCTGTTTTTTAAGATTTTTTTTTAATTGAAGTATAGTCAGTTACAATGTGTCAGTTTCCAGTGTACAGCATAATATCCCAGTCATGCATATATATACACATGTATTCATTTTCACATTTTTTATTAAAGGTTATTACAAGATATTAAATATAGTTCCTTGTGCTGTACAGAAGAAATTTGTTTTTTAATCTATTTTTATATATAGTGAATAACATTTGCTTGTCTCAAACTCCCGAATTTATCCCTTCCCACCTCCTTTCCCTGGTAACCGTAAGATAGTTTACTATGTCTGCGAGTCTGTTTCTTTTGTAGATGAGTTTATTAATGTCCTCTTTTTTCTTTTTTTTCTTTAGATTCCACTTAATGAGTGATATCACATGGTATTTTTCTTTTTCTAGCTTACTTAACTTAGAATGACAATCTGCAAATCCATCCATGTTGCTGCAGATAGTGTTTTATTTATTGCTGAGTAGTATTCCATTGTTGAAATATACCACAAGTTCTTTATCCAGTCATCTAAACAGTGTAAGATTTTGTTTGAAGAGTTTGGCTATTTTTCTTAATAGTATGACTGAGATATAATTCACATAGAGGAAAATGTATGGCTCCAACTTTATATACACCCTTGTGGCTACCCAGCTTAGAATATAGTGTGTTTACATCATCCTGGAAAGTTCCTTTGTACCCTTCCCCAGGAGTAACCACTGTTCTGACCTCATTCACCATTTCTATCCCATAGATTTCATTTTTTTTTGGCTTTTTTTCTTTTCATTTAATTTTTCAAATTCTCTGATATGGTGCTTTACTGTTTACAAAAACTTTCACACTGTCTTATTTGATATTCTTTGATTCTCCTGACTTTCAGTGGACATCTTTGTAGGTTGAGGGATGAATAATAGAGCCTCTGTCTTCCATTGCTGATAATTTGGTGGGAGCAAGATATATATTTAATTAAGCATGTGAAGTATGAAAGGAAGGATATTATGATAGAGTGTCACCAGCAAAGAATATAGAGATCAATGAATTCTTTCCTTAAGAAGGACGAAGGTTTGGGGAGATGCCAACATTTAAAACTGAGCATTGACATATAGAATTTTGATAGGCATTTTTAGAGTGAAAGTGGGAAGTTTAGCAAGAGCATGGGTATCTAGTATGGGGGTTCCTTAAAAAACTAAAATTAGGTTGACCCTGTGATCCAGCAGTCCCACTCCTGGGTGTATATCTAGAGAAAACTCAAAATTTGAAAAGACACATGTACCCCAAAATGTTCATAGCAGCACCATTTACAATAGTCAAGACATGAAAACAAAGTAAATGTTTATTGACAGATGACTGGATAAAGATGATGTAGACTGTGTCTGTGTGTGTCTGTGTGTGTCTGTGTGATGGACTATTACTCAGCCATAAAAAAGAATGAAATAATGCCATTTGCAGCAACATGGATAGGCCTAGAGATTATCATATTAAGTGAAGTAAGTCAGAGAAAGACAAATATCATGTAATATCACTTATATGTGAAATCTTAAAAAAAAAAGAGAGAGATACAAATCTTATTTACAGATCAAAAATCGACTCACAGACGTAGAAAGGAAACTACGGTTACCAAATGGAAAACGACAGTAGAAAGATAAGCAAGAAGTTTGGGATTCACAGATACACGTTACTATAAAATAAATAAGCAACAAGGACCCACTGTATATAACACAAGGAACTATATTCAATTTCTTGTAATAATATATAATGGAAAAGAATCTGAAACTATATATATGTACATATATAACTGAATGACTTTGCTGTACTCCTGAAACGTTGTAAATCAACTACACTTCAGTTTTTTTTTAAAAAAAGCATAAGGTATCTGTCTGGAATAATATAGTGGAATCTGCAGAGAAAGAATAGGTCATGATGGAGGGGAATTCTTAAAAACTATACTAACCTTTGTACCTTTTTTTTTTTCATTGTAATGTTTCCTAAAGTGAGTTTCACAGAACTGACATGTGTCTTGGAGAATCTCTAATAGATTTTTCTTTCCTTTTTTTCTTTTTTTCCCCTAATAGGTAGCAAATTTACATGATATGAAAATAAATATACACTCACGTATATACACATAGTGCATACAAATACATTTTCTGAGTAAAATTGAGTGTTTTTGCATTTATTTAAGAGTCATTTCTACCTCCTTTTATGTTCATATTCTTCGTTCATTTTTTACTATCTTATTAGAAAGGCCTCCACTACTCTAAAATTTAATCAGAGAATTTTCTCAGAATTTCCTGAAACACTTAGATGGTTTCATTGTTTGTATTTAAATCTATAAAATATTTGGTATTTATTCTGCTGTAAGATGTGAGGTATGAATCACTTGATTCTTTTTTAATCTGGCTTTCTGGTTGTTCCAACACCGTTTATTGAAAAATCTATCTTTTCCACACTGGTTTGGTATGCTTTTATTACATATTAAATTCTTGTGTTAGGATCTCTTTCTGAAATTTTTTTTTCCTGTTCCTTTGATCTGTCAGCCTCCTCTTGCATTAGTAGCACAATATTTTAATCAATGATGATTTATATTTTAAATGCACAACTAGTTCCACTGCATTGTTCTCTTTGGCTGTTGTGAACTTAATAACCAGGTGGCTTAGTTTTTGTTTTTTTTAATTATTGATATTGAGAGCACATTAAATTCATATGGTGATATGGAGAATTGACATCTTTATGATGATTTTTCCTATGTGAGAAAACATAATAGCAGTTATAATATAGATTATGTTGCTATAAAAATCTAAGCTGTTTAAAGCAGTTTTTGCACATGCTTCATATCTGTTTATGTTAGCCAGAGGCTGTCTTCACATCACTCAGAAATTCAGGCTGATGTAAAGGCTTTTTCTTGGCATATGCTTCCATGATCACAGAAGACAGAGAAAAGGTGGTAAACCACATATCATGTGTTAGCCTTCTGTCTAGAAATGACATGGCACTACTGCTCACAGTTCATTTGTCAGAGGAATTAACAGAGCCATGACTTAAGTTCATGTGGTTAAAAAAGTGCCTTCCTATCAGGTACTTAAAATGAAAAAAGCAGACATTTGTGAACAGTTCTGATGATTACCACAGATGTCATTATCTTTCTACTTATGTCTTTTGTTTCACTCAATAGATTTTAAATTTTTCTTCATATGATTTTTGCGTGTTTCTTATTGAATTTATTTCTTGATATTATATAATTTTTCTTGATCTTCAAGGTACACTTTTTTCCCATTATCTTTTAACTGGTTGTTGCTTGTATATATCAATTACTGATTTCTATGTGCTAGTTCTGTACCATACTGATACCTTTTACTGTTTGTAATAGTTTTTCAGTTGAATCTATTGATTTTCCAGGTTTTCATTCTTACTTGCAAATGATATAGTGGGATATGTTCTTTCCATTCTTAACTGAAAACTAAACTAATCTTTTCCCATATTCATCACTAATTTAATTTTCTTTTACTTTTGCAATACAGTGTCTAATAATTATGACATTGGACCTTTTTTTCTAGTTCCTGATTGGCTATGTCTGAGATACAATATGTTTATGTCAATAGGAACATTTATTATTCCTATCTTGAGTGTTTCTATCAAGAAGATTGATTTTTTTTTAAACCAGGTGTCTTTTTGGTGTCTATAGAGTTAATCATGATTTTTTTTTCTCCTAGTACTATCAATACAAAAAATAAATTAATACACTTTCTAATATCAAGCCTTCCTAGAGTAAATCCCACTTTTTTTTAATGCATTTGATTTCTATTTACTGTTTACTTAGAATTTTTTAAACAGTACTCATAAATGACATTGGTCTCCACGTGTTCTTGTTTGTTTCTCCAATCTTTATTTTGGTACCACGGCTATTATTTCATTTTAATTTTTGGAAGATTTTCCCTTTTTCTTCTATCCTAGAATGGTTTTCTACTGCATTAAAATGATGTGCCATTTTATTGTTAAGAATTGTCAAGTAAAACCCTGTGTCTGTCTAGTATATGCAGTTTGGGTGCATGGTTCTTAATTTCTGCCATGGAAATCTGTGTTGTTTAGATTTTCTGTTCCTTCTTGGGTCACTTTTGGTAAGTTACATTTTCCTAGAAAAGTAACCACTTCTATGAGCTGTTTCAGAGTTTAAAATATCCAGGTAGAATGTGGGTTTTTTGGTTGCTCGTTTTAATTTTACTACGTTGTGATTAGAAAATGATGTCTGTTTCTCATTTAGTTTTTATTTTTTTGGGATTTGGTTTTATGGTTGTTTTCTTTATAGCCCAGTGTCAATTTTCATAAATGTTCCAGGGAGCACTTTAAAGGAAGACCTAGTCTGTGTTCACAATGTACATAATTTTATATATATCTGAAGTAGGGGTTACCTTTAGGGCTTGATCTACTGTATCTTCTCCAGATTGAAAGGTAAAAGCCTCCTGTTAACAGTTTTTTATTTCTCTACCAATAATGTAGTTACTGTCTCTTTGTATTTATCCTTTTAGCCCCTATAATTTCTACTTTACTAATACTGTTTTTCTATTAACTGATACATATACTTTCACTGTGATTTTTAACCTCTAGCTTTGTCTCATTTATGCTTTTTGGCCTGAACTCCACCTTGCTTTCTTTGGTATACCTTTGGCTAAGTTTATATTTTTCACTATTTCTTTCTTTTGGTGGGGGAGGAGGTGACTGAAAAATACAAATTTATTCTCTCACAGTTTTGGGGCCAAAAGTCTGAAATCAAGATGGTGTTAGGGTTGGTTCCTTGCAGAGACTTTGAGGGAATTTTTCACCATTTCTGAATAAATTTATGTGTCTTATATAAAGCATAGAGTTGGGCTTTGTTTTGTGACCCAAATAGAAAATCTTTTTAAAATATGTAACCTAAACCCATTTCCATTTATTGGTATGAGAGATTTTTCTTTTCTTTTCATAGTTGAAAAGACTTTTCTTTATGTAGTCTCTTTGCTTTTGCTTGTATGTGCAATTTTGAGATTCACAAAGTTTGTATTTTATTTTAGTAGTTTTATTATTATAGCTTTATATTGTATCCCTTGGTTCCTACTGTTTCCCTACTATAAGCAGTGATAGAACTAGTGTGTTTCATCTTCTTTCCTCCTCCCTTCCCTCTCAACCACCTGATTTTAGTAAATAATATTTTACTGTTTACCCTTGTGCAGTCAAATATGCTTATCCATCACTTGATTTATCATCTTTTGACTTTCATCTATTACAGGTAAGAGGCAATCAGCAAATTTACTCATCTATTGCATTTCCCTGTATCCCTCTGTGTTTAGGGCATATACTGTTTACATTGTGTTCTGTCACTCTTAATTCCCACATTTGTTTTAGTCTTAGTTTTGTAGCTAAATATATGCAAGGTTCATTGAAGATAATTTTATTATAATTTCCTAATTTATCTCTTAGCTGATTGAAATTTGGCCTCCTTTCAAGAGTTCAATGAAAAAAAAATGTTTTAAAGATAAATTCTTTACACAACATTGTAAACTCACTGTACTTCAATAAAAGCATATTAAAACTGAAAAAAAAGATAAGTTCTTTATGAGTATGAGTATGAGAATAATATTACCTGACCATTGGGTTCAACAGGGTTTATTTGTAGCCTTTACCTGAAAGACAGCTTGGCTTGATCTACAACCTCTTGCTCATACTTACTTTGCTTATGAATTTTTCTACTGTATCCTGTTGCCAACAGGCATTAACTGTTGCTTTGGGGAAATCTGAGGCCAGCCCTTGATTATTAATTTTTCCCTCATGGAACTTGATATTGTTCTGTTTCCAAACTATTCTTTCTTTATTTTTATAGACCAGTAACTTCATTGGCCTATGTATTGATGTTGACTGTTTTCAAATGACTTAAATTTTCCTCGCAGGTGGTAATGAATTTAAAAAAAAAAAAAAAAGAGGCTGCTATGCTGTTGTTATCTGTTGTTATGGGGCTCAGCTAGTTAGGAAGGAAGTAGATTTAGATGGTTATTTATACAAGAACTTAAAGCAATCCCCCCAAAATACTGACATGTCATTTTTCTTCTGAGTAAGCTTTTTTTTTTCATTTTTCAGTTTTATTAGATAGAATTGTTACAGTTTGACTGCACATATGCAATGTATTGCATGTAAATACATATACACAATATACTGCACATATTTAAAAAATTTACATATATGTACTGTACATTGTTTCTAAAAACATTTAGAGCTTTAGCTTTTTAAACTTACATAGTTATCAAAGGAATAAAGCCAACCACAAAATAAGAATTAATTCCAAAAGATACATACACCCCACTGTTAACAGCAACATTATTTATAAGTGTCAAGATATGGAAGCATTATAAGTGCACATCAGTAGATGAATGGATAAAGAAGATGCAGCATATATATGTAATGGAATACAACTCGCCCATAAGAAAGGATATTTTGTCATTTGCAGCCCTTCATTCACTTTTTTTTTCCACTTCAAAAACCAGAATTTTATAACTGGCATAAACATTTCCATTGCATCCAAAGTACCTGGAAATAAACTTAACCAAGGAAGTTATCTATATACTCTGAAAACTGTAAAACACTGATGAAGGAAATTGAAGATAATACAAAGAAATGGAAAGATCTTGTGCTCTTGGATTGGAAGAATCAACATTGTTCTATACATTCTGCTGTACTACCCAAAGCAATCTACAGATCCAGTGCAACCTGTCAAAGTACTCACAACATTTTTCACAGAACTAGAACAAACGATTCCAAACTTTATATGGAAACCATGAAAGACCCTGAACTGCCAAAGCAATCGTCTGTAGGTCTTTTCTTCTTCTTCTTCTTCGTCTTCTTTTTGTTCTCTTTTCTTATGGTTTGATGACTAGAGAAGTTCCTTTAACATTTGCTGTAAAGCTGGTCTGGTGGTGCTGAAATATTTTAGCTTTTATTTATCTGTAACGCTTTTGATTTCTCCATCAAGTCTGAAAGGAGCCTTGCTGCATTGAGTATTCTTGGTTGTAAGTTTTCCCCCTTTATCACTTTAAATATATCGTGTCTCTCCCTTCTGGCCTGTAGG